TCCATGAAGATGCTCTCTGTATCAGTGTCCGATATTATCGAATACCTGCCAACCGACCACACTTCCTATTAGGTAAATGCCCTCCACCGGGATCCCATCTCTGTGACTTTAGTCCTTTTACCCATTCCAGAGGAGAGCAAGAGGGAACTGGAGCAGAGAGGATCCACTGATGATAGAAGGGGAGCCCCAGCTTTTCTCCCAGCCCTCATACTGCTCTCCAGAGGGATGCTATAGGCTTTAAATATGCCCTGTTATCCAGTGCTTGCAGGATGAGACAGGTCTCAGGTGAGAGGAGCTGCAGTGGGCAGAGGGTGCAAGTGAATAGACTGGTGGAGAAGGTTTTGGGTAGAGAGGATCAATGTCTGGTTTTGAGACAGGGAGACCATAGGGAATAAACTCACAAGTAGCTCCCATCTTGACAGACAGATACAAACATTGTCCTACTTAGAATTTATTAAGCAATTCAAAACTAATTATGATACAAAACCAGCATTTTTTTCTGTTATTTAATTGTCTGCAAGCACCCTTTGAGTTATCTCAAACTGCAATACAAGCAGTGTGATTGTAGGCTATGAATCTCTACCTGAGTATTCAGTACACTGGTTACTTCACAGCATGGACGTGTGCTAAGGCTCTTCAGTCACACAGTGTTGCCTAACTGCGGGTCAGAAACAACTATGAAGCCCACAAATACCTTTGAGGATATTTTTTTGGCACACAGAGTGATTTACACAAATCTTTGTTAAGAAAAAATGGGCCACAGTCTTGAAAACACATATATTCCCATCTGGGTCCATACAGTCCAAGCAAACCTTCTGCTCATATTTAGACCATCTTAAAATATTTTGCCCCAGCTTTTTCCCTGAGGTACACCCTCTATGTTTTCTTCCACAAAGATTATATTGTTCATTAGTACAAGGTTGCTGCCCTCAGAGAAGCTATCTGGAAATGCAGCCTTTCTGTACTTGAAATGCACTGTTTGTGTTTAATTAATACAGGAGAAGGAGGATGATTAATATGCAATCAGGATGCAGCAAGACAGCTAAACTGCTTTCATGCTGCATACTCAAAGTGGAAGACACCGCCACTGGAAACCGCTCAGTGGGCTCATCCATGTTGGCTCGCTGGGCTCCAGCACTTGTCAACCATGACCGAAAGTAGTCCTTTCCTACCTCTTTTAGGCCGTTTATGAGATGAGCACGGGGAGTCTTGTTTACAAGAGCTGAGACAAATTTGCAGCGCTCAATTTCATTTACTATAAAGGGTTCTTCAAAGCTCAATATAAAGATAACAGTCCGCAATAATCTGCCACCACAGCCACAGATTTTACCAGTAGCTGCCTGAAGCATCCATGAGGCTGCAAAACAGCTGGATGCTTCAACGATTTCACTTTGGAGAAGACCTTGGCATTTTCATCACTGTATTTGGTACTAACAGAAAGGAAAAAAAAAAGGGGGAAGGGAAGGGAAGGGAAGGGAAGGGAAGGGAAGGGAAGGGAAGGGAAGGGAAGGGAAGGGAAGGGAAGGGAAGGGAAGGGAAGGGAAGGGAAGGGAAGGGAAGGGAAGGGAAGGGAAGGGAAGGGAAGGGAAGGGAAGGGAAGGGAAGGGAAGGGAAGGGAAGGGAAGGGAAGGGAAGGGAAGGGAAGGGAAGGGAAGGGAAGGGAAGGGAAGGGAAGGGAAGGGAATAAACTGGAGAGGTGCTTCTGCTCATTTTGAGTGACTGGTCATCAGGAGGAGAGTGACTTATGAGGATCAACAACTAATTTTACTTTATGTGAGCTCAGTGAACTTCCTAAACCATTTTTGCATATGCGTAGTTAAATGAAATAAGGACTTTATCTTTATTTTCCTGCAGTGTCCCACAGTTACTAATAGGAAATATTTTGCAGCCTCCTGCTTAGTGAGGCCACTGAGGCAGGTTCTTTTCAACAGATCCTATTCCCTGCCTTCAGCTAAAGCGTCTCAAATTGTACAGAAAGCCCTACAGAGCATTTTGCTTTAGGAAAGGGGTACAAAGGGGTGATTTCTTTCCTCATGTTAGGAGAAAACACATCTAATCATGCTTGTTTTTCTTGCAGTAACTCTATTCCTGCTCATGCAGTGTCGGCCTCCTGTTCAGTGCCCAAACCCTGTAGCTAAAGATGGCTGTGAACCAAACGCAGATCCCGAGACCCTCAGACTTTCTGGGGCAGGGAAGGCCCAACATGGACATAAAACACCCACAGGTCCTTACGACGGGCAGAAAGACAGACTACGCGCTTGACCCGAGAGCCTCCGTGGAGAGCAGGACAGAAAGGCAGGCGGCCCGCCACCACACATACTCACCGGCTTGGCGAGGGGCTGCGGAGATAGTGGGCCTGCACCGCCCTCACGTCCGGGCCCTCCTCCTCCTCATCGGGCACCACCTGCTCGCTGTCCGAGTCTCCGCCGCTGGCCATGACGGCTGAGGGAGGATCTGCTGGAAGGAGTCACAACGCAACGCGGCACCGTTACGGGTGGCACAAGGCTAGCGGTGTTCCCTGGCCACTGGGGCAGGCAGTGGGGGCTCAAGGCTCCTTCCAAGCGAGGAGGTGGTGAGCCAGCCCTAATGACTTCTCTGCCAGGGTGCCTGCTGATCCCGTGTCCTCGTGAGGCTCCCTGGCTGGTGCCCAGCAAGTGCCGGAGCTCTTCTTGCCTGTGAGTAAGCACGCAGGGAAGCCGGGAGGGAAGGGGTGGTGGGGCAGAAACTCTATACCCCCCGTGCACGGTCTCTGGACAGAGCTGTACACTGCCAGACCGGGACCGCAAAGAGCATCAGGGGAAAGAAACATGAGACCTCGCCTCCCCAGCACGAAACGCTCCTCAAGCTTCAGGCCAACGCCACGGCTTCGGCCAGCTTTAGCCCTCAAGACTTTGTCCTTGGAGCTAGGAGGCTGCCATGCCCACCCAGGGGCCATGAAAATGGAGCCACTGCCACCCCCCTGGGTGGGAGCAGCTGCTGCTGACAGGGCAGCAAGCGGGGAGGCCGGGAGCAAGGAAATGGCACTTACCGCCTGCGCCTGGATGAAGGGATAGGTCCTGGTTAGGGGCACAGCAAAGGAGCCCAGAGAGTAGGGTAGGAAACCTGGCAGGGAATAGTAGGAGGGAGAGAGAAACCAGCTGCCCCCTCTGTCTCTCTGTGGTTTCTTCATTAAGGGGCAGGACAACTGTCGACACCAAACCTTTATCAGCTCTCTAAATATAGCCTTGTCCCAGCACTGGCTGCTGGACTGCAGGGGGAAAGAATTCAGTGCCTCACAGACGGCAGCTGGTCAAGTGTTTAACTCCTTCCCTGCTGTGGGACGGGCCTCCCCACGTTTCCTCCTTACAGGAGGCACATGGAGAAGAGCACAGAACCGGTGAGGCCCAGTCTCTGCCTTCAGGGAGCCTCCACACAACTGGGACCTTGCCGAGCACAACCTGAGAAGCCGGTATGACCTCTGATGTCCTTGGGAAACACAGTGCAGGGTGAGCCACTCCAGGCTCACTAGAAGCAAGTGGAATTTCCATTTTGGAAGGGCAAGGACTTGGGTGCACTGCATCTTCCCTTGATGCCGATTCAAAGAGGAAACCTCCCCTTCCAACTCACTGACTTCCCAGCAAAGCTTGTGGGCCAGGCTCAGATGGGGCAGAACATGATGACAGCTGAAGTGTTATTTACTTGTACCAGTGGCTCCAGTTCTGAGTCATGCAGTGACATCCCACTGTTGATTCATTTTGCAAACAAACAAGCAAGGAAGAAAGGATGTAGAAAAGGACACGGATCTACCTCATACCACAGATACCACTGCTGCTGCATCATTCTGGGCAGGGGGTGCCTCTCCCCCTTGCTTCTTACTTGAGTGCTGCATCCCTACATGGGGATGGGGCCACATCTGCAGGGACATCACATCACAACAGGCAAAAGCCAAGAAACAGGAACTCAAGTCTTTGTGTACTCATAGCTCAGACTTGTCTTTAAACAGTTACTGGGGCAGGGCAAGCAAGAACAAGAAAAAGTGATAGATTTAATCTTGCATGTCACACCAAGGGGAAAATGGATTTTGGATTACAAGTTTGAACAGATCCTAATGGTTTCATGTACCAAAAGAGGATGAACTGTATTGATCCTACAGCTGTCTTCTCAGTGCAATGCAATTGTTAGCCACTTCTCAAAAGCAGTATCACATGTGTTCTTGTTAATTACTGCTAAATGAGGCAGGAAGTGATCTGAAGACGTTTGCTTATGGACTTCCATATTATTGGAGAACAGAGCTTTAAATGACCTAAATGTTGCAGGAGCACATACCCCATTGACACCCAATAAAAAGTGGTGCTTTTAAGTCATTGAATTGCTTCTGAAAATCCTCTTCATGATTCGTTAGAATACAACTGCAACAGGGGATTATAGCCAGACCTGAAAATCCACCACGACCATTCCCATGTAGACATGCAGATAGGACCTGCCTAAGTTACAGACTTGTGGAGAACACGCAAACAGCATGCAGCCTGGAAGCTGTTCCTTACAATTTGCTACAAACTGTTGCCTTATGGGATTACGGTGGCCATGCAGAAAAGAGACAAGGATGCTAGAAATCTTTGCTAATGAGTGTATGTACATGCAAACATAGCAGAAAGTAACAAGCTGTAAGAGGTTTGGCATCTATCATCAGGAGATTACTACACCCATTCATAGATGCACTCACACTGAACATGGCTGGGGGCTACCCTCTTAGGTGGGAGAGATAGGATCTTGATGGAAGGTTCTTCCTCTGTCTTAAACAGGAGCTGGTGTTAGCATTATGCTACCTATGCATAGATATTTAAGCTGAACGAGGCTTATTGTTCCCCATGTCAAACCACGCGTTACTTCAGTTGTGTTGTACACTCCCAATAATGGCACCCTTTGGGCTGCCTCCTCTCTTGCTTTCCGTATCTACGTGATAGGAGAGACTCAAAAAGGCAGTTTAATTGAGGAAGGACTGTCGCAAGAGGGGAAGGGGCAGAGAGCAACAACAGATGTCAAAGCTTATTGGCAATCTGCCTTGTCAGTCTGGCCAGGAGGAGTGGTGTAGTAGAATAGCACTTTACAAGAGAAGGAGGAAGCAAATCTATGATGCCACTGTGAAGAAACCTTCAGGTAAAGGCAACTGCTTCTCTAACCACCTGCAAGTTAGAAGGAAGAGCACCTTGAGGCGAAACAAAGGGGAAAGGAAGAGGAGGAGAGCAATGAAAGGGCTTCAGCTGTTTGTTTTCAGTGCAGGTGAGTACTAATTTGGTTATGTCCTCAAGGGTTAGGTAGAAGGAAACAGCACCACAAAGTCTGAGCAGCATTGGGGACTTGGCTTTGTTTAGTAAAAGTTTCTGCATGTTTATGATTAGGCGGGTCTATTTACTTTCTCTATGCTGAATGTCCAGACTTGCAGGCATCTCTTAAAGCTGCAAGATAATTTCAGGAACACGAAAAGAATGCTGTTCTTCAGGAGGCTGGAAAACATGTTTTTGAAATGAATTTTAATTGCTTCTGTCAAATACAGCATTTCTTTCTGAAGAAGGCACTTCCTCAACCAGAATTGGAAAAGGCCTTGGGTATTAATTTTTTGTATGTAAATCTGCATGTAATATATGCCTCCATAAGTTTAAATCCTACTGTTTATATATACTCTGATGTGACTTGTGATCTCTCTATATTATACATCTCAAGGGGATTCACAACGACCCCTACCTACACATATAAATCAGCCAGACTTGTCCCTTTCTCATCCTGCCTTGCAGAACCTGCACTCTAAGTTCCACTGTTTTTGACCTGTTGTCTTCTCATAGAAATGCTTATATGCCATCCTTCAGACTTTAAAAAAACCTACTCACTTGGAAATCAAAAATCCTGAAAACTGTGCTTCAACAAATAAACCCACAAGAAAAGAAACTCATGAGGTTTAACGTAATTAGAAAAGGTGGCTGTGTTCCGTATATAACAAACATGACTTGAGTAATAATTTGGCGATCAATATGTAAATTGCATAACACCATTGGTATTCATTCTCCTTTTTAATTATTCTCACCTTTCATACGATCTAAACTACAGATGGTAAACTTTTTGGTGCAAAAATATGTATGGTGTGTGAGGCTCTTTTTGCCTGTTTGGGCAGGATTCAAACAAAAATTCACTGTTAAAATACTGGCCTGTGAAGAATTTTTGGACAAGGTATAGTAGATTCTTGCAGTGGACCAGAGCAGAGAAACTACACAGCACTTCGCAGTGTGGTGTTGGGATACTTGAACTACCTATGTCAAGCTCTCACTGCAGGTTGACTTCTGCTGAACTTCTCACTGCAATTGTGTGAATAACTGATACTGTGTCCTTCTTGCTGGATGAAAAATCCCAAATGGTCATTTTGAATCAAACAAAATACTTAATTTTACCGCAAATTTCACATTGAAGAGGTTTCTACTCTCCCACTTTGGAGTTAAATTCCAGCTAAGTTTCTCAGTAGAAATTAAAAATCGGAGCATCTCCTCTTGAAAGTGAAACATTTCAGTTTTTCCTAAGTTCCTCACTAGTCTAATCAATCAAGGCAACTCAGTGAAAATAAGTTTGTTTGGTTAGAATCTCATTTTTTTTCCTTTAATTGTTTTCAGCTCTACTAGTTGCCCTTCAGTCTGTTTTTATACTCTGTATTAATATTTATTCAACAACGAATGTGAAAGTAAACACGTTGCTTTGATTGTCTTCTTCCTTTGCACTAATACTGATGCTTTAAGTTGAGCAGAGGGAAATAACCATTTTAAAGAATTGAGAAGTTTTATAAACATACTAATAAGTAACAGTAAAAAGTAATTCATCTTAAATCTAGATGATGCCATCCAACAATATATTGGTTATTGGTCCCCTCTCCTTTCCTGAAGTTCTTTCAGAATTGACCATCCTGTTCCTTCCACTGTACTTTGAATAGATTCTGTTTTAGCTCAGGAAAAAAAAAAAAATCAAACTTTGATAAATAAACCACAATTTTTAGATATGCTAACTATAACTAGATGGCTGTTGGTGACGTTGTGAAGGAGTAAAATGTGGTGAGAAGGGGGATGGAGAGAAATCAGTGTGAGTAAATGGCACTCCAGAATGAAACCATGAAGCTTCCCTGAGAGCCAAAAGGAGTTGTAACAACGGCAACATGGGAGCAGGAAAGAGATGTAATGGATGAAAAATGGGAGAGCATCAGAAGATGTCAGGCATGAGGATGACAGCAACACACAAATAAGTCATCTTGCTTGTTATCAGCTGCTTCTCCAGTACGTCGATGTTCCTCGACTCTGCACTGAAGATGTTTGGGGATAAAAACAAACAAAACCAACCAAATCTAATTTATTGTAGGATTTTGGTCATCCAACTTGACAAAGGCAAAGCACTTCTGACTGAAGCCTTAGGGCTGGGCAGTTTCTTTTCTGCCTCAGGGCTGAGTTAATGACCTGTCAGTGAACCCTGGCCTACTGGAGTCAGTTTGTGACAAAAGGATCAGGAAATGGGTTTTGCTCCATCTCATAGGACAGGCTATGATACTTTCCACCCAAACGCAGGAGAACATCTCTATCCAGTCGCAACAGGCGACAAGATGGCTTTTATAGGTGTCTCTCATGCAGAGAGAATCACTAGAAACAGCAAGAAAAAGCCCTGGGGCTATGGAAGCACGGCCCTTGTACTGGCTGCTCCAGAGCAGATGAGAACCTGGGAGTGGCTGCAATAAAGGAACACTGGAAATACTTTGCCCTGCTGGTTCTCCTCTATAGCTGTCAACAGCTATAGATGAATCAGTCCCTGAGAGGGCAGAAACTACTTCTGCCATGTCACAGAGGAAGAAATTAAAATGAGCATTTAATAATTAACTGTGTGAACCCACACAACAACTCGATTAGAGAGCTGAGAACACACAAAGGTGGCAACTTCAGCTAGAGGCATCCTGGCTGAGTGGCCAGATCTTTTCTTACCAGGGCACCACAGAACCTGGCTGCTGTGGTAATTCCCATCCACCCGCCTCGGGAGAAGGGAAGGTGCAGCAGTTCTGACAGGACAGGCCACTTCTAAGAGGGCCCTTGAAGGGCCATTTGCCATGGGGAACAGACTGGATACAGGTAGCTGTTACAGAAGCTCTTGCCCTTCTGAGGGGGAGCAGGTCCCAGAGCCAACTGCCCTATGTTGCTCTAGAACAGTGATAACAAAATCTTTGGGGTGCTTACGCTGTTATTTTTTAAGGGGAACTATGGTTCACTGCTGCTGTAGTCAAGGATCTGTAGTGCTCAGTTTGCTGATGGCTTGCTGCTGTTGACCTAAGGCATGTCCTGTGATCACTTTTTGTAAAAAAGCATGTATTTATAATCCATGGGCAACTCAAAGTGGAATCCAGACGTCCTTTGTTCTTTCCTTCACACACGTTTCTGCATGGATCTAATCTGGACAGAGACATGGCTGAGTGAACCCAAGTCTTGCTGGTGACTTTTCAGTCACATCCTCTCTGGGGAACACTGACCCCGCCTGGTTCTTCCAGAAGCAAACCATCACCACCACAGCGTGCCCCTCTTTAAGGGTGCATGCATCTCTGCCCTCCTCCACCTTCCTCTCTGCTGGACCTTGCTCCTCCTTGTCATGGGAGTGCCTCTGAGCAGTGTTCCCTTTCCCTCCCCCCTCCCTAACTAGTTGCAGGCTTAGAGTTTTCAGATGATTCATTTTAATGCCCAACAAAAACAAAACAAAACAAAAAACAAAAACCACTACAAACTGTGAGGACAAAGCAGGTGTTTTTAAACATAGGTTCCCACAGACATAAAGGTAATCTAGGCCAGGACAGAGGAAAACCTCCGGCAAAGTTCTGAGAATAGCTAAGAGCTGACACTACCTAATGCTCAGGTATGATGAATTAAGCATCAAGGCAAAAGGAATACAGCATACAAGAAACGCCTAGACTGCACCCTGCATGCTTCACCAGGGCCCAGAGGGATTTCTGTTCTATGCAACTCTGCTATTCCTGTACTCCACAGGCAGGAGCTATGGTTTTTGGAGAAAGGTGGCTATCACCCTACTCATTTTTAAACACAAATAACTAATGTTCCTTTTTTTTTTTTTTTTCCCCTTTCAAGTTCTCTTTGCTTTCTTGGGTTTTGCTTTGTTTTGTTTCAGGGCATTTCATGAATGTGTTCTGGTTCTCTAGCACAAAATGTCACTTCTCTGTGGACTTGGTTTGGTGGAAGTTATTTGTCAGTTTTCCTGCTCCCTGAAATTTGACAGTATCAATTTGTTAGTTTAGCCTGAATCCTTAAGAGTGCTGATGCACCTGTATTATCGGTTTATCTGTCTCCCTCTGTACATTTAGGACCTGTCAAACTATGTCAGTCATGCTGAAAGTGGGCTCATAAAAAATTACATCTTTATAACTCCGCAGGTAAAGAAGAGGGAAGTGAGAAAAAAAAAAAAAAAGCAGAGTTTAGCTCTTAACCATCCTGTGAGGCAGCTTCCTATAGTCAATCAGCCTCAGCATATGTTGCCTCCTGCTCAGTGGGCAATGTCATGGGTGTCAGAGGGGAGGTTGTGGGTTACTGTGGCATGTAAGAAAGCCAAATAGACAAAACATGAAAATCAGATGCCATTAATTTTGCTGACTAAAGTATGTATTCTCTTCCTAGTTCTGGTGACTGCTCATACCCTTACTGTGGAAACACCTGCCAAGGAATTACAGGTGGCACGAGGGAGCAACGCTACTCTCCGCTGTCAGTTTAATACTGATGCTTCCATCTCCGGAGGAGATTTTGTTGTCTGGAAGAAAATCAATACCGCGGTAAATCAAGTTGTATAAAGAAACATATGATAGAGTATCTAATAGGGGGGTGTGAGAAGAGATGGAAACAGGACTGTGGGAATATGTGTTGGAAGAAAAGGATTCCTTCATGACTTTTTAATCTCAGCACTATACAATTAGAAACTCTGAATCTTGATTCAATTTAATACAAATCTATTGTGCGATATTAGGCAAACCCATACCTTTCTTTTCCCTCTGTCTTGGTCTTGCAACTGTATATGGAGGATACATCACTCTATATACCTTGGATTTACATCTATTAGCATAGATGAAATGTTCAGATGCTTTAGAAAAAGCTATGTATATTTTTGCATATGTAGTATACACACATATATATCTTTGATATTTTATAAATATTTGTATTGATAATAGTACATGGAGAGATCCTTGATCTCTTACTTTCACAGGAAGTATTTGAAGATAAAAACACCTCTAAAGTTCTTCTCACCTTCTTGGGAATTAGTGAGAGGAGAAGCAGAACTTGGAGCTCTCCTTGCAGTAACTGCTAAGGGTTTATTCACCAAAGATCCTTGCTGGAAGAAAGCAAGGGAGTATATGTAATCATAGGGGGATTTGATTGACATATGGATGTCAGAAAAGTCTCATGGTGTCCTGTCATGGAGAGGAAAGTAAATATGACCCCGCAGAAGAAATCAGTTGTTTCTGACAGATAAGGTAGAAGGGGATTCCAGACAGGAAGCTCAACTCTTTTGAACTCCTAAGGTTCTCTTGGCCTGGGGCAGTTTTAAGGTGCTCTTTTCCAAGTTGTTCTTATCTTAGGAGTAGGCTAATCCATGGATTTAGGCTGTAGACTTGCACAGAATAAACTAACATTGACTAGCTTCCCTCCCTCTCTGACAGGATGATGCTGTCACTAGGTATTTCGATGGACTTGTACAGTATGGCAAGGGCTACGAAACCCGAATACAATTTACTGGTAACGTAGAGAATGGGGACATCAGTATCACCATCAATGAAGTAACCATGGAAGACAATGGGACGTATGTATGCAGTGTTCGTCTACGGAATGACCCTCCTCGGCAGTCTGCAATCACGAGTCTTTACGTCCTCAGTAAGCATAATGGAGGCAAAAACAGATCCATTAGATAATCCACTATCCTTCTCCTAATGTCCGTACTGTTTCTTAGACCACAGATTTTCTAACAGAAAAAAACCTTTCCCAGTAAATCATAATCTTCAATTCTCTTTGGTCTTTTCCTACTACTACAGTAGTGGGTTGGAAGGCTTAAAGCACCTGACTCCCTTAAATACTTGACTGCAAAAAATACAGTTTTTAGAGTTATGTAGTTCACTTTCCTAATAATCCTTGCCTCATTACAGGTCATTCCCCACTCCCCCTGTGGCTTGTCACACTCAAGTTATCAAAGGGTGAATTGCCCAACATTATTAGAGATATCTCAGAAAACATCTTACAACTTCTTCTTGGCTGACAAGTGTCAAGAAGGGACAAAAAAAATTAGGGACAAGAGTTCACTTCAGTTCCTTTGAGAAAGTGGTAGGTATATGGCCAGCTTCTGATCATCAAGAATTGGGAAAAAAAAAAAAAAAGTTGCAGGAGACGGGTTGAAACAAAATGCTATATCTGAGTAACAAAGTTTCTGTTTTTTCCTTCTTTCAGTTGCACCATCCAAGCCAGAATGCAAGATTGTGGGCACAGCAGAATACGGCCAAACCATCAATCTAACCTGCATTTCTCATGAGGGCTCCCCAAAACCCACATACAGCTGGGAAAGCTTCAACGTACAGCATGAGCCCCGTGTACTACAAACAACAAAAGGTATGGGAATTTCTAAGTCGCCAAGTCTTTGAGTCCTCTTGTAGTTCAGGACTGGAAAGACTTTGAAATGCAAATAACAATAATAATAACAATAATAATAACAATAACAATAATAATAATAATAATAATAAAACACACTTCAATTCATTTTCTAGGAAGTTCTCTGACCAGGATTTTAAGAAGTTGCCCTTTTGGCAGCATATACTCCTAAGTAACTTAGCAGGGCAAAAAGGACTGTTACTTGAAATAACAGCAGTCACTTAGATTTTCATTTCAGCTCTTACCTGGCAAGAAAGACGTCTCATTTTGGCACTGAACAGAAATAATTACTTCTCAATTGCTGGATGTAAGGGTGGGATAGTATGAGAAATAACAACCAATTTTCTAACCGTTTTTTATATCTCCTCTCTCTTGACAATGACTTTCTAGTCATTCTTACACATTTTCTAGTGTGAAGGCAAACAAAAGTTTGCTCTGAAAGCTGCTTTCCTTTCAGAGATAACTCCTCACATAGAGGAACGGGGCATGAGAAACAGTTGCACCATTTCTGCTTTGAGGATAAAAGAGGCTTCCAAGTCTTTAGGACTGTCACACAAGCCCTAATGTTTTATTTGCTTTTGGTTTGTCAGAATCTGGAAAAAAGTATATGAATTTCCATAACAGAACCTTTGGTAGAACTATTCATACAGTAATAAGGGTTTAATAGCCTTTAAAGTGTAGCAGTGTCACAGGACTCAGATTTATTAATTCAAGCCACTTCCTTTCTTCCTGATACATACAATGTCAGAAGGACAGAGTATGTGTCTGAACCTGCCATTCCTGGTTTTAGTTATAGTAGCACTGCTAAGGAGGTAAACTAAATATGATCAGACTATAGGCTATTCAACTCTCACTAGGTGATTCTTGCATAAATTATGCAAAATATGAAACATACACAGAAACACAAACCTTATTCACTTGACTGGCCACTAAGCGGTGCCAATGCATCATGCACAGCCCTGAACACACCGTAATTTGCCGTCTCAAAGCAACAGCTGTCTGCCCATTCGTTCTGTGCTTTCCTGGGGCAGGAGCCTGTTCTGAGCCATTTCCCCACTATTTCTGTTTTCATCAGAGCACTGCTGTCCAGTAAGCATGCCTGCTGTCTCCTGCCCCCCTACTGGCTGGATGCCCTACTGTCACTACGAGCAATATGCTAAGACTTTGTGCTAAGCAAGTCCTAGTGCTGCACATTGTCCAGAATTCCCTCAGGAGCCACTCCAAAATTGACAGTATCTGACATGCATTTTCCAAAATCAACTCACCAGTCAATTACTTGTGATTTAATATAAGAGGATTTACAGCCCATTAATAGACTGCAATTCTGAGAGCTATAAACATCACACTGAAAAAAAAAAAAAAAAAGTGATGCAAGCTCGGCAGCAAGCTGAGACTAAGAAATGAAGCACGTGGAGTCTGTTATTTCTTGGTTTGCTTGCTCTTTTACTATCTGGCACTAGGCGTCAGCAAAGACTAAACAGAATCCCAGTCCCTCTCATGAGCTGGAAAGAACCAAGGATTACACAGAAAATAACTGGAAAGCCCCTCAAAAGTTTTTGGAGCCTTTAGGTTTTACAGCAGGAATCTGGACCTTTATCAGTAGATCCCAAGGAAAAAACATGGACTCTGCACAAGTGTCAGCTAGAGATGTAACAAGCAAAAACTGACTGCTCTGACAGATGGAGCTAAACTTTAATATATGGTTCTGTGCTCTGTTAGGCTGGATAGAAAATGTCTAGCATCACAGCATTTCCATGCCACTGTATTTCTTCATTTATTTTCACAGCCTGTATGTCTTCTCTCAGACTAAAAAACTGCTAGATAATTTAAATCAGAAATCCTAAGAGCTAGAGGATTGAATAACTTTTTGCCGTTTTACAAGTTAATTCATCAGATGACCACTTCTTAAAGACAAACCACTGGTTTGTGCAGTCTTATGTTTGTAGGCAAAGAGGGCTGCTGGCCATTTTCCCACTGAAAAAAAGCTTTCACTAAGCATACATACTTATTTCCCCTCTACCTACAGTTTTCTTTCTAAAAACAATGTTCAAATGCCACATTCCCTGTGATCAAAACAGCACACTTTGTCCTTCCACAAATCACACGAAATTCCACTAGCGTGGAAACTCCCGAGCAAGATGGAGCAATCCATCAGCTTTAATAACTTCTCATCGCTCCTACCTTCCTGTGCTAGAATTGAAGGGTTGCTGTTCCCATTTCCTTCCCTGTTGTAATTCTTTTCCTGACTGGGTTTGTGTTTCACAACAGGGGAGCAAATAACTCTGAAGAACATCTCAGCGGATACATCTGGCTTTTACATCTGCACTTCAACAAACATTGTGGGAAAGGAATCTTGCAACATGACGGTCAGCGTTGTGCCACGTAAGAGACTAAGTTGCTTATTGGAATAATAGTGCCAGAGGATATATTCAATCTAAATGTGAAAGCTTTAGCAAAGACAGTGTAAACAAAATTATAAAATTATGCTTTCTTGAGGGGAGATCCTAAAAGGCAGCCCTGAGGAGTGCTAATGACCAGGGTGGGCTAACGGGGCTTATTGACAGAGCTTTAAACTAGTTTTGAAGAGGGAAACAACACTTGGTTCTACACCAATGCATGCAGCATGAGGAGCAAGCAAGAGGCGCCAGAAACCTTGGCCCAGTCCAGAACTACGACATCACTGGCATAAGCAAAACCTCGTGGGAAGAGTCCTGTGGCTGGGGTGTTAATGAAGGATGGTTACAGACTCTTCACAAGGGATTGGCAGGGCAGGTGAGGCGGGGTGGTGGTGCTGTATATAATGGTGAGGCTGGGCTGTATGGAGCTTGCAGTTGGCAATGACACAGTTGAAAGCCTTTGAGTAAGGATTAAGGGACAAGCAGATAAAGGGGATGTCATTGTGGGAGCCTACTATAGACCTCCTAGCCAGGATGAGGACACCAATGAATTACTCTGTAAGGATCTAAGAGATACCTCTAGATCAGCCACCCTTGTCCTTATGGGTGACTTCAACTTGCTAAGCGTAAACTGGGAATACCACACAGCTGATGCAAACAGGTACCGGAGATTTCTAAAACACATTAGTGATAAATTCTTGATACAGGAACTAAGGCGGCCGACTAGGAAAGGTGTCCTTCTAGGTTCATTGTTTGTAAACAGAGAGGCTGTCGTGGGTGGAATGGTGATTGGTGGCTCTCTTGGCCATAGTGACCATGAGGTAGTCAAATTTAAAATCTGTGGTGGTAGGAGGAGAACTGCCACCAAAACTTCAACCCTAGATTTGGGTCAGCATAACTCAAGCTGCCCAGGGAACTTGGTAAAATCCCCTGAAAAACTGCTCTTGAAAGTGCTTTGTCCATCAGTACTGGTCAGTTTTAAAGTGCCACCTCTTAAGAGCACAGGTGCAGGCAATTCCAAAATATCAAGCAGGTGGGGCAGAAGGCGGGCTTGCCTAAGCCTGGATCTTGTTCTAGAGATTAGGTGAAAAAAGAAAGCATATGGATGCCAGAAGCAAGGTCAGGCAACACAGGAGGACTACAGAAATGCTGTTCGCCATTGTAGAGAGAAAATTTGTGCATCCAAAGCCCAATTATAGTTGCAGCTGGCCAGTGCTGGGGGGACATTTTTTTTTAAATACGTTAAAAGCAAAAGGAGGACCAGAGATAACACTGGTCTGTTACTTGATGAGGATGGTCACCTCACAAACAGGAACACAGACAAAGCAGATATGTTTAATGCCTTCTTCACCTCTGTCTTCACCACTGATGATGGGCCCTGGGACCCCAGAAGCCCTGAGTTGGAGAACCGTGACTGTGGTAATGATAAACTCCCAACCAACCCTGAATCTGTGCAGGATTTGCTGCTGCAACTAGATGCATTTAAATCTATGGGGCCTGATGGGATTAATACCAGGGTACTCAGAGAGCTGGCTGATGTCATTGTGAAACCTCCCTCAACTTTTTTTCAGTGGTCTTGGGAATCTAGCAAGGTCCCAGTCAACTTGAAGCTGGCAAAAGCTGTTCCAATTTTCAAGAAGGTCAAAAAAGAAAAGTCCTGATAATTACAGACCTGTTAGTCTCACTTCAGTACCTTACAAAATTATGGAGAAGAGTGTTCTGGGAGTTACTGAAAAACACCTGAAAGACAATGCAGTCATTGGTCACAGCCAGCATGGGTTCATTAGGGGAAAGTCTTGCTTAAGGAACTTAATTTCCTTTTATGACAAGATTACCCACGTAGATGACTGAGGGAAGCCCACTGATGTAATCTTTTTGGGTTTCAGTAAAGCTTTCCATGCTGTTTCTCACAGCATCCTTCTGGACAAAATACCCAGCATACAGCTAGACAAATACATAATGTGGTGGGTGAACAACTGGCTAATGGGTTGGGCTCAAAGGTTTATAGTAGATGGGGTTACATCAGGTAATAAGTTTAACAAGAGCAAGTGCGGGATCCTGCACCTGGGAAGGGGCAACCCTGGATATACATACAGACCAGGGGATGAGAGGCTGGAGAACAGCCCCATGGTGAGGCATCTGGAGGTTCTGGTTAACGAGTAGAAGCCAGCAGTTTGCCCTGGCAGCCAAAAGGGCCAACCATACCCTGGGGTGCATCAGGCACAGCCTTGCTAGCCAGTCAAGGGAAGGGATTGTCCTGCTCTGCTCTGGTGTGGCCTCACCTCAAGTACTGCATGCAGTTTCAGGCACCACAATATAAGGAGGACATAAAACTATTAGTATCCAGAAAAGGCTACAAAGATGGTGAAGGGCCTAGAGGACAAAGTGTATGAGGAGCAGCTGAGGTCCCTTGGTTTGCTCAGCCCAGAGCAGAGCAGGCTGAGGGGAGGCCTCATGGCGGCCTGCAGCTCCCTCACGAGGGGAGCGGAGGGGCAGGCGCTGAGCTCTGCTCTCTGGGGACAGCGACAGGACCCGAGGGAACGGCATGGAGCTGGGACAGGGGAGGGTCAGGCTGGGGGTTAGGGAAAGGTTCTGCACCCAAAGATGGTCGGGCACTGGGACAGGCTCCCCAGGGCAGTGGTCACAGCCCTAAGTCTGCCAGAGTTCAAGAAGCATTTGGACAATGCTCTCAGACATAGGGTTTGATTTTTCAGTAGACCCGTCTAGAGAGAGGAGTTGGACTCGGTTATCCTTATCCTTGTGTATCCCTTCCAACTCAGACTATGCAGTGATTCTATTTCTCCTCCTTTATAGCATCCATGAACATTGCCCTTTATGCTGGCATCATTGGAGGAGCTGTTGTTGCAATTGTAGTTATTGGTATTATAGCCTATTGCTGCTGCTGTCGGGGGGACAAGAACACCGACTATGAGATGACGTAAGTACCTTTTGCTAGAAAAGTGAATGGAACATACACTGGTACATATTCTCGCTCTGCTATCAGCCTATGGAGTGGAGAGCACAGTAGAAATGAAGTCACCAAGGAAAGTATGCACTGCTTTCCTCCTTTCTGTTTCTACACTAGTGACTCCCATCTCTTCTCACAGAATATGCCCTTATCACCAGATGCCTTTCTAGTCTCTGGGGTAGAATTCAAACATTCAAACCTTGGCATGCACAGCCACTTGGTAAACAAAATCATGATTGTCTCTCATTTCCCCTAGTCCCGATAGCTGTTTCTGTCCTTGCTAGCCTAAATCACCATAATGCTCTGTATTCAGAAATATCACTCTGATAAAACTTTTCCTTTATGAGAGTAAGACTGCTGTAAGAAGAATGGCATGAGAAAAGATACACCAGTCATCATTTCTCTATACATATTTAATGAAAAAAAAAAAAGTAGCTCACACACCTTTTGCATCATCAGCAAGACAATTTATGGAGTTTGGTTTGTTACACTTCTAGATCAGCTTAGAGCAATCTAAAACCATTTTAATGCAAAATCTCTTCAGTAAAATTTCTGCCTGCCTTTAACTAACATCTCTATTCCTGAATAATGTTTTAGGGAGACAAAAGATGCAGATGAATTCTCCCAGAGGAATCCTACAGAGAATCAGACAGCAAAAGATGATAATGAAGATGAATGAAGAAAGAAGAGGGAGGCCTGATGCCATCTTCATTTTTTTCTGAGGCACAGACATCACTGTAGAAAAGCAAGCAAATTCCTCTCTCTTACTGCAAGAAGGTTTTGTTTTAGAATAATTAAGTAAAAGCTAATAATGTCTTTGTCTTCTAGTTCCTGGGAGAGAATATCCTTGTCTCCCTGGAAAGGAGTATTTAAAATACCACGGGTAATAATATATAACCTCATAGCAGAATAACGCATATGAAGAACTGCTTCACCCACTCATGCAAAAATCACCAGTCTCCTTGACTTCCCCCTTTCTGTAAAAGAAGTCAGTTAAGTCAATTTGGATACAGAGTTGCCACTTTATCCCTAGAGCCACAGAAGGCACAGAAGGTCACAAATTGCAAGTTATCAAGAAAGGGTGGTCTTGTTTATGCTGTTATGTAAGTTTCACAGCTTGTAGCACTGTCTGGTACAGAAATGATTTTATGTGAGATTGAAGCAAGCTGATTTTTTAAGACATTTTATTAAGTGTGTTCTTTGTATATATTATACACCCACATATGAATAAAAATACGGGGAAAAAACAGATGACCGATCAAAGTCTGTTCAAAGCAACAATATATACTAATGGCATGGATAAGGTAACAGAAATAAGCTGCAGAGTTTCAAAAAAGTTAGATGGATTCAGAACAGACAGATGAAAAGATCTGGAAACAGTCTACGAGCCGGCATACTTTCAGATTTTTGAACTTACGAATTCCAGCTCAGAGAATTCCTAAATATTAATTCTCATCACGTTACCCTTTTCTCCTGGCTGTTGTATTGGTGAGTCAAGTGGTCTGTTGTGCCTGTGGCTTCTTCTGAAAAAAATGTTAGTGTGAGAACATGTATATGGAAAGTCTATTCTTTACAAAGTACATACGAACCCAAATCTCTCTGGCAATGAACAATCTGAAGCACAACTCAGCAAAACATTCTGAGAACTTTTTCCTGGGCTCAGTGTAGATGTATGACTCAACATTTCAAATATGGATTACCAAAGAAACCCAACAAATTTTTCACATGGAAGCTGGAGGCAGGTAAAATAAAAACAAGGTGCATAGCTCAGAAATAGAGGAACAAATAAAAAACAATGATACATATTTTATTCTGTTTTACAATGTGAAAGGGTAGTATGAATAATCTAATTAGCATTGTAACAGGTTTTTACTGTGAAACAAAAACTATTTCTTTTCTAGTTGTTACAGACATTAATCACCACTCTGTTCCCTCACAAACACCTATATCCTATATCCTTGAGCTGACGAACACTCCTGCTGAAGGATAATAGGATGGATTCTCATCAAGCATCTTAACTGGGAAGTCCAGCAAACAGACATGACAGTTATCGATAGTATTTGTAGCCAGAACCTGGCTCTGGCCTCTAGAACATTTTAACACTGTGTTACATATCCCGTATTTTTCACAGGATATGTTAAGCTTAATTGTCTTGAAATAACATTTGCACATTGATCAATACAGATTAACAAACCTGCATTAAGCTATTTAGAAAAACAAAGTTTCAAAATACAGAATAGATATAAGAAGACATCCCAAAAGAATGAATTCAATCCTCAGTAGGTTCCATAAGAATCAGCAATGAAAAAATGAGAGTTAACCATTACAACCATTAAAGCAGAGCTACTTATGTTCTGCAATGTTAAGCTCAGTTCTTCCCTGACAAACTAAAAGCACATAGAGAGGGCTAAGATATTTCACTGCTTTTCATACTTTTTTTTTAAAGACTAGTATCTTGAAAGTTGTGTATTTATCAGAATGCTACTGATTTGTTAAATTCAGTCAGCCAAAAATACACATACTCAAATTCCTAATTTACTCCACAGTTTTCTGTGACTTACATGTCTTTTGAAGTAGGAATATCTCTAAGAGCCTCTAGTACACCCAGAACTTTAAAGAAAATTAAAGCAGCGCTAACATATTTATGGAAATGATTTGGAAAGTGATCAGCATTTAATGAATTTCCAAGAATTAATGTATGCGTACTCAACTTTGATACTGACATCCCTCAAAAGTTTGGAGTTAGGCAGAAAAAGAGAGACAATCCACATAGTCTATAGTACATTACCATTTATTTGTGTTCGAATTGCACATGGAAGAATATGAATGTATATGCTTTATCTGTGCATGAAAAAGAAAAAAAAAAAAAACAAAACAAAACACAAACACAACAAAATACAAGAATATAAGTGCTCCCAAATCATCTGCAAGACTGCTGAAATTTGTTACCCCAAGTGGGAAGAACAGCCACAGTATGATATGGATACATCACTGCTTAGCAAGATTTATTTCAGCAAGAATACTTAGAAGATATTTAAAAGTTATGATTTTTTTTTCTTCCTCCTGACATTACCTCAGCAATCTGCAACAAGCAATTTCTCGTATAATGAAGTGTATGAAGGGAGCAAGCAAGTCCACTCCAACAGTCTTGCAATGCAATGAAAACTAGGTAGGAGAGAAACCTCATATGCAATTTGAAAAATTGGATCACCCTGCACTTCCCAGAGCAATTAAACTAACCAGAACTTTATCACATTTTCTCTTTTAAAAGTGAGTACTGTCTCAGAAAACTGCTACTGATTAATAGAACTGCTCCAGGTAACTCAAAGGTCTACTAAATGTGGCAAGTAAAATGCTATGATTTATGAGTGGCAAAAAGATGGGACAAAAGTTAAGTGATCTGACAGGAGACACAGATGACCACAACATAGCAGAAGCATGGAGATAAGGAATCAATATTCCCAGTCCTTTGATACACCCTGCAAGGCAAGTATTCTCATCAACACCCTTGTTCCTATTTCCCTTTCACCTTCCAAACACCCTTTTTGTTTGTTCCCCTCAGTTTTGGGCATTCTTCTCAGCAGAGATGCTCTCCTACCAGTCCTGACTATACTGTTGCAAGGGGTTCTTCCTCCCTGGGTGCTGAACTTTGCTGCATTTCACAAGGTTCATTATTAGCCCATTCCTTCAGCCTGTTCAGGTCCCTCTGTATGGCAGTCCTGCCCTCGAGCATATCAGCTGTTTTTTCCAGTTTGGTGTCTTCAACAGGTAAGAGTGCACTCCATCACCTCCCCCAGGTCACTGCTAAAGACATTAAGTAGGCTTCTGGACAGATGCCCGCAGTACCAAACTTGTTACTGGCCTCCACACAGAGTATGACGTCTTAATCACCACCTTCAGAGCCCAAACAGATTTTTAGTCATCTATTGTCAACCAAGATGTAACATCCCAACTTGGACACAAGCATACCATATTGAAAGCCTTGCTAAAGTACATATTCTTGAACTGTTCTTGGATTTGGAAGATGCTATCCTCAGTGATCTGCCAGTCTTCCTGGACTCCTTTATTCTTTAGAGCTGTCTCCCAGGGATTACACCTACCCATTTCCTGCATACCTCTCACTGCCTTCATCACTCTTCTCAAGATCTTGAACTCCAGTATTACACGGTCACAAAAGCAGAGCTGCCACTGCCTATTACAAGATTCAGAATGGCGCACAACCCAGAACTGATCAGATAGACAAGAGTTAATTATCTCACAATTCTTGTTGCTAGAGTAACAGCACTTCTTTTCTATTTATTTGTATCATCGGTTCCAGGAAAGACACTGAGGCAGCCTTCTATCTGAAGAAGTTCACAGTACAATGAGAAAACTGTCAAGATTAATTTTGGATGCGTTGGGATTAGTACTAAATTTATTATAGCCCAACATAAGGGAATTTGTAACTTCTCTCTCCTGCCTTTCACCTGTTCACTAGGGAATATGGGGAATTATTTGAAAATTGTAATTAGAGAAGCTTGTGGGAGCTTCTAAGACAGAACCAAGGAAAAAATGAGGGAACAGAGATAATACAGGGTTAGACTAATAACAGCGTTTGCTGATTTCTTCATTTTACTTGAGTCAGTGCAATAAAAATTAATCAGCAGCTCATTATAGGGTAGAAGTAAAGGATGGTAAACCTACAGAAGGCACTAAGAGGGCAGAAACTAGATAGCAAATTTGTTATTCCCCTGTCCCGCTGCATTACATTTTCTCTGCCAAATAGAAAGATACTGTTAAAGCCTTCACTGTCAGCTGCATCTACCTCTATCAGCCAGAAACTAAGAACTCAGTTTCACATACTTTAGTCACTTACATTTTTAGAAAAATTTGTAATTCTTGATGGGGAAAAGGATTAGCATTTTCTAATTCAACTAAGAGGTCAAAAACACAGCTTCTCCATATTAATTCTTCATTAAAAAAATCAGGAACAGACAACTACAACCAGTTTGCAAAGAAACACAGACAAGGCTTCTTTGAATACAGGTTTTCATTCACCCAACACAAGTTTTTATTTGCAAGAGTCTGGCCTTCAGCACAACTCTATCTGACTTCGATGGCTCAAGTACCAGAGTCCTGGCAATGCATGCAAGTTTTTGATTCGTGTCTCTTAGTATGGTCCTAACTCTGGGTAGCTGACAAAAAACGTGCCCCATGGAATGATTATGAATCATGGCATTTGAATGACTACAGCACTGCTTCCTCCAGTCTGACATCTGCCTGAACAGCAAAAGCCAATACCTGACACTTGACAGACTCTACACCCAGATGGTCCCCACCAAGTTACAACCCTCCTTCTACCTTTTAAGATTTTGAAGACTGACATATTGATAAAGGCATAAAAAAGAGCAATCTTATTTTAGATACAGCAAACACTCTCTTTGATAACATAACTTGTTATAATGTAGACACTGAAGTGGGCACAAGTGTTGAACCTACACATCTCTTACTGCCTCGTGTGTTTTCTCATTTTGAAGGCAAGGAGGAGTTGCCCTTTATGTAGGAGAGCAACTAGAATGCATGGAGCTTTGTCTGGGGATGGACAATGAGCCAGTTGGGAGCTCCTGGGTTAGAATTAGTAGGCAGACCAACATGGTTGACGTTCTAGTGGGTGTCTTCTATGAACAGTCTGATCAGGAAGAAGTAGATTAGACTTTCTTCAGACAACTAGGAAGAAGCCTCATGCTAGAAGTGAGTGAGGGGCCAAGGAGGGGAGGTACTCTCTGCTGGACCATACTTACAAACACAAAAGAACTGGCCAGGAATGCAAACTCTGGAGGCAAACTTATAACCATAATTACAGAGTTCAGGATCCTAAGAAGAATTAAAAAAGCAAAAAGCAGGATCACAAACCTGGATCTCAGGAGAGCAGATTTCAGCATGTTCAGGGATCAGCTTGGAAGAATCTTATAGGAAATAGTCCTGGAGAGAAGAGCAGTCCAGGTGAGCTTGTTGAGTTTTCAAGTATCACCTCCTCCAAGATGAACAGCAAAACAAACAAAGGTTGACCAAAGAGACCCTGACAAAAACAAACAACATAGAAGAGGTAGAAGCAGAGACATGACTTGGGAGAAATACACACATTGAGCTTCTGTTGGTACATCTGAATGGAAAAGGGGACCTGGTCATAAAGGACAAGGTACTGGACACCTTTGCCTTCATGTTTACTGGTAAGACAACTCCAGTAATCCCAGGTCTGTGAAATAGTGCAAGACTCTGGAGAAAGGAAGACTTACCTTCAGTAGAGGAGGTTCATGGTAGGGTACAATTAAACAAATTGCATAGGATGCACCCGTAAGTGCTGAAGGAGCTGGCCAATGTTGTTGCTTGTTGCAAAGCCACTCTGAAACATCTCTGAAAGGCTGTTGTGATCAAGAGAGGTTCTTGACAACTGGAAGAAAGCAAGTATTGTTCCCATCTTCAGGAAGGGAAAGGAAGATGGGGGAATGACAGGCTGGTCAGCCTCACATTGATCCCTGAGAAAGTGATCAGGCAAGTAATCATGGAAACCTGTTTTCAAATGTGAAAATCAAGAAGGTAACTAGTAGTCAACATAGATTTACAAAGTGGAAATTGGAAATCTCATCTGACCAACCTGGCAGCCTTCCCTTCTACAGTGGCATTAAGAATTTGGTGGACAAGGGGAAAGCAGTGGATGTTTATCCTGACTTTAGTGAGGCCTTCAACACTGTCCTTACATCCTCACAGACAAATGGATGAAGTACAGAGCAGATAAGTGGACTATGATGTGGACAGAAAACAAGCTGAACTGCCAGGCTCACAGGCACTAAGTCCAGATGAAGGCCAACCCATAGAGGGCTCCTACTGACCCCAGTAATATTTACCTCTTCATTTACAATCTAGACACTGGGTTGGAGTGCACCTTCAGCAAGCTTGCTTCACCATGGCCTTCTCTACAAGCTGGCAGGGAACCTCTGTTCCAGAACCTCAAACACCTTCTCCCTCTCCTCCTTTTCTGACTGTGGTGACTGCAGGATTGTTTCTCGTGTTTCCCCTGACCCTCATCTGCTGTGCAGCATTTTGCCTTTCTGAGTATGTTTTCCCAGAGGCACAGCTGTGCCCTGCAGTAGGGCTGTTGGAGCCAGCTGGAATCAGCTATGTCTGACATAAGGAGCATGCTAAGGTTTAAATCATCATCTTTCCATAATCCTTACTTTTCTATTAAAGGAGAGAAGTACTACTGCACTGTGTTTATTAAACAAGCTTTTATTTTTCAAGGAAACAAAGATGAAGTTTCAAATTGTTCAACAGCCAGAGAAGTACAGTTCCAAAATGAAAGAACTTGCTATCATTTAGCTGTTAGGGTTCCCCTCAATATACACAGGAAGATGGATAGTAAACAGGCTACATCTAGTCTCATTATGCAGATTTTAGTTTTCATTACAAAAACACCACAGATTGTTGGTTATTATTATAATTTTATGTTATTATTATTTTATGTTACAGGTGATAAGGTATAGACACCATGGAACCCACAGACATTATCTCTCCATTTCTGGTCAGATTCATCGTCTCAGTCTTGAAGCACAGTAGCAAAAGCTTTTATAGGTCTGTGTACTTGTACAATACTGATCAAGTATTTTAAGATTCTCTTCTTAAGAACTGAAACAGGAAACTGAAACACTGACATCTGAAAATAATCCCCAAATTACAGTTTTGTACATTTTGGTGTATCAATGCAGGAATGGCTGTCAATTATGAAACTTAAACTCAACCATATTCCACTGCAGAGAAGCCTTTACCACTAATAAGTAGACACTCTGACCCTGTTACAAGGCTTACAGATGCCTCTAAGATTGGTAAATCTCAGTCTTCAAGGTTTATTGTCCTTAATTTGCTGAAGTTTGGGAGGTAGAACAACGGCCTCAAAGCAAGGAAATACAGAATCATACAACAAAATTCAATGATACAACCAATTCTTAAGTAGGGGACATCAAAATGGCTCAGTGATCCTGTAATACTGGAAGGCAGCCCTCAAATGGCCTTAAAGCAACTTTAACGGGTTTCCAACTAAACAAGCAATTGGCCTTTTTAACATACTGATTAGCATGCTTAAGCTTATTCATAAATGTATTGACCTTTTTTTTTTTTTTTGCCTATCATCCAAAAAGATGAGCTACTAATTTTCAGTTCCTACAAGGAATGAAATCATTTCCTCTTACAGTTAGTTGCTATGGAAATAGTATTTCACAACTGGACCTCCATTGGAACAAGATGTAAAAACAACTTAGAAAATAATCTCTTATTTTTAAGAATCAGTTGCTGAAAGGTAGTAGACAACTTCTTAGGGACTTGTCCAAGGCTTGAATCTCCATGAAATGGGACATCTAACTTCCAATGATATGTCAGTCTCCTAGTTTTTATGGCTGCTCAAGTAATTATGACTGGTATCTGTCCCAGCCCTATTAAACATACAAGATTACATCTGCAGATCAATGTTTGATTTTGACATTCCTTAAAACTCAAACTTTATGTGCACATAAAAAAAAAAATAAACCCACTAAACCCAACCATTAACACCTACATTCCTTCTGAGTTTAAGGGACATTTTTTTAACTGCTGAAAACCACTGTGAAGGGGAAAATAGCCATGTTCCTGATATATACACTGTGCCTACAAAAGAACTATCAGATCAATAGAATTGCCACCATACTTTTCAAGACACTTCAAATTAAAGTAAAAAACAGCAGATTTTCTATGAATGATGACTCAAATTCTTAATGGGTGGAAGAGAGATGAAGAACAATCCTTTGAGAACATTACACTTAATTCCCTTAGAGCATCCTGTCATACCCCCATTGCTCCCCTCCACCATATTTTGAAGAGGGACTGTTATACACTGAAACTTTATCTTCCACATACAGAAGAGGGGATGGAGGTTATTAAAGAAGAAATAAAGCAAGTCACACTTGCCACTACAGAGTTCTTCTAATCCAATGACATTGTGTATTTAATCTTGAATTTGCACTCCATCCATTAAGAAACACAACTAGCATGGTATTTATTTTTAGAGCATGAAACTGCCAGGTTCGTTCAGAATGTCTTGCTGTATATAATAAACAAGATCTTTTCAAAATACATTCAATAACAGCTTTATCATTCTAACAAGAACATGAACCATCAAAGGTTGCACATAAGATGACTAACTGCAGTCTGGAGAAACTGCTGGTTGTGTTAGGGAAACGAGAAAGAAACAATGTGCAGCTGTCCTGGACAGTAAAGAAGATTTTCAATTGTTGAAGGACTTGTATAGATCAGATGTGTGTTCCAGCAATCGAGTAACCCCTCTTCCTCGGGTGGTACTTGCTCCATAAAAAGAAGTCTTCACGTCACATGGAGAATCACCTATTAAATTAAATAAAGCTTACAAATGAAATAAGCCCTCAAAGCTTGCATAAACTAATGTAATTATCCTTCATATGCTGTAAAGCTGAATGTATTCAAGAGTCCTAATGCAAGAAATGAGAGCCATGTTCTGTCCTCCAAAAACATCAAGTCCACGATATCACAATTTATAATTGGAACAGTTTCAGCATTTAATTCAGTATGTATTTTCCATGCAGAAAATAAGCTGCAAACTCAGAATTTTTACTTGTCTTAAACTCTATTCTGTTCCTCTCTGAAGATCAACCATGAATTGCCCAAATGAACTGCGTGCACATGCTTTTTATTAGGAACATCTTAGCTCCAAAAAGATGACCTTAAATAAGCAGTTTTTAAAAGCCATGTTGTAACAGAATACTTACAACAGATATCAGCTGAATTTGCACATGACTTAAGAGCAAAAGAGTGTTTTAAAGATGGCCCTGCCGCAAAGCACCTATGCATGTAAGAAGGGACTTCACATAACAGGAAAATGAGAGTTTAAGTCAGATAGCAACATTTTTAAAGAAAACTAAGTTTGGATAGACTTTCTGACCATAAGTTTCTGTCCAGTAAGAAAAGGGCAGTTCTATCATCTTCAGAAGTTGAATGATATCTGCAACTGTATAATCTCTATAGTAAGCTCATGCAGAGCTAAATAACCTTTACATCACTGACAGACATCTTCTCTACCCAGAAATTTGAAAAACAGCAATTGGATTAAGTTTAAATACCCTTTCCCTTTATAAATGGAGAAATCTCAAACTCACAACTAGAAGGGACATGTTCTTGATCCTGACTTGGAGAAGTAGCGTATCTGTCATACCGAGAACTCTCAGCCTTCATTTTCTGTATGAAGAAATAAACATGTAAAACAATAGATTTGTCTTCCAAAATGAAATATGCCCAGCTATTCATGATACCTAGGAGTTACAGTCAAAATTGACCACAAAAAATAGCTCATCTACAGATTTTTTCTCAGTCTGCCTAGTACACTACACAGAAGACAGCATCCAAAATGAAAACAGATCTTCTGAAATCAGCCTAGTTTGTTCTGTCTAAAACACCCAAGTTAACTAGAAATAATACAGGAAACTAATTTAAAGAAACTGACCTGAAAACGTCCAGCATCCAGTATTACCCTATTGATATTTCTATTTCCACTGGAATCGCAGTCTTGAAGAGGTAGGTGAGTGGCTGTCAGTGGGACTCCATACACACCAGCCAAAGATTTACTGATGCAATAACTTGACCAAGAAAATAAAGAAATCAAGAGAAGTTTTGTTAAGAGGGATGTAGTACTTAACAGAAGCACAGCATTCTTAGTTCATCACAGCCACAGACTGTGATGTATGGAGATGACAGAGGGCAGGGTGTTGTCACAGAAGCTAGATAGTGACCCTGCATCCTTCTAAGACCACCAGCCTATTCTACAACTACACCTGAAATTAACACAACTGTTTCCCTACGCTATTAAATGCAGCCACTTAATGTGAAAATAAAGTTTCTGGCAAGGCACAGTATACATAACAGGAGGGTTTTTTACATGAAAGACTACTCATTACTATTTCTCACAAATAGTGTTATTACTATTGACCAAGATCTTTAATTGCATTTGTTTCCACAATTACTTACTTGCTTTTCCCCCTTCCACCTAACAGATTAGGTAAGCTTATGCAGATACATTGTATGTAGAACAGTATGAAAATATCAGAAGTAGAGATGGACTAAAATAAACTGAGAATTTCCCACCAAACAAGTTTATTAAACATCTGAATAAAAATAGCAAGTTTTAACATTAATAGCATCTCTCCCAATTCTCCAGTAGTAAGTGGAGGTAGCGATAGGACAAATACAAACCAAGTGATAGACGCTACTATCACAGACATTACACTACATTTAAATGCTAATACAGCATAAAACATACAAACAAAAATTAAAGCCACAAATAGAAAAGACCTGGAGGAAGAATGATTAAATAAAGCTTGAGATTTAGAACCACAGTGCTCAAAGCAGTCACAAAAGCCAGAGCCAAGAAGCACATGTCTATAACAAAATGAAGAATTGTCATACTGTAGGTAACTCCTGTACAATACTCACGCAATTTTCTTACAAGATGCCAAAGCACAGAAAAGTATACCATTTTCTTCATGCCACTTGCACCTACATAAAAATGAAGTTCACAGGTCTATTACAGAAGTACCATTAATCAATGCAAATAGTTGGTATGGTCAGAAGGAACAGGAGCCAACATTCAAGATGTTATATTTTCTCTCAGTGAAAATATACAGTTTAAATTTCACATAGGATCAGCACTCAGTAACAAAGATTTGGTTTATGTAAAGCCAAAAACCATGCTTAAGTAGCGTTTTTTTTTTTTTACACTGGGGTGGGAGGGAAAAGGAAGACGAGAGAATCCTATGAGATAAATGGAATTTAAAAGTAACAATTAGAAACTTCCCATTAAAGTGGGATAGCTCCTCTAAGTATGAGCAACCCCACCTCCTCCTGCAAATGCATGTTTTAAAGTACACTTTTCCATTCCATTCTTGAAAAGGTCTCCCACTACTGTGATGATACTCATGGAAATGGAAAAATGCCTGACAATACAGATGTAAAGAGTGACACTGATTTACAAGTGATCTCAAAATCCACACCGTAAGCAGACTAGGAATAAGTTTTAGTTGGTTTAAAAAAAGATCATATTACTAGTTCTTACTTAAAACAGTAAGAGTAAGAAGTTCAGGTATGTATCTATGTAAACTACATCAGTGCTAAATATTCCCCTGCAACACCACTAACTACATATTGTTTCTTCGTAGAAACACAAGGATCTGAAAGGAGCAAAAATTCTGTTCAAGACATGTAGGGAAAGAAACAAAACACCAATCTGACAAAGTAAGTGCATTCCAGAGCTGTACAAAGAGCATTCCTTCAGGAGGAAAGATCTCACTTAACTCTTAAGCTTAAGAATTTGATTACTGCCACTAGCATGCATACCTAGGCCTTCATCACAGTTGCAGCATGAGGTACATAGTAACAGCTAGCGTCCCATCCTAATTACAATTTAGATTCTGAATATTCTCACTTCCATGATTTCCAGTTAAGTATCACAATATATTTAATTCCCTTTTTTAACCCTCCTTTAAATTAGGCCCCAGACTCAGCATGTGAAAGCTAATCTTCACACTTTTTTTTTTTTTGAAAAACATGGATTTCACATTTCCTATTGCAGTCACACTGTGACAAAAAGCATTTCTGATTAGAAGTTTGCTGAAGATTTTAGGCTAGTAGTGCATAAACTGTATGTAGGACACCAAGACATGTCAAAGTAATACCCATTTCCACAAAAAAAAGAAGCCAACATACCTGGTATTACTGGAAAAATCCCACAAGACAGCATCTAGCTCTCTACACACCCAAGTCTTGGATGGCTCTTTTTGATATTTCTTCTGGTACAGTTTTATTACCAGGTCTTCCACAGTAAGAAGCTCCAGATGGCTCTCAATGCCTGTAGCTCAGAGGAGATCCAGGTCAGAACAGAAAAGCCAGCTGAGCAGAATGTTCACACTTTTCAGCTAGTCCTTGTTCACTATTCAGCCTCTTCACTGAACCTCAAAGCTAATGTAAACCTCAACAAATTATTCATTCCACCAGTGGTATTAGTAACATTTGGCTTCCTAGCAAAGCAGGTCCTGTATTCCCACAATTTTCTCTTCCTCAGTAATTATATAGCCTACCTACAGGCCATCTTTCCTCAGAAGCTGTTAGTTTTCCCATCTATTACCACACACATCTGCACAGTAATCTCACTGTCACTGCTGCTCCTTTAACTGGCTGAGCAAGAAACAGTGCATTGTTCTGTGGATGTGCTCATTACCCAGTTAGCTGACTGACCACACAGTAGTTATTTGGAGGAAAAGAAGAGGGAGTAGCATACCAAGTAGTTCTAGCTATCAGTACCAGCTTTTATGAAACCTTTGAGACCTGAACTCCTGACTAATCCGTGATTACATAATAAGGCCCAAACAGGTTGATTTCCCACCTGCTACACTAGCCATTCGTTCAAGACACCAGGTTACTCGGAATCTGTCATCAGCCTAGAGAAAAGAAAATTTCAGTCACTTTCAAGAAGTATATACAAGTAAAGTATAGAATTTTGACATCTGCAACACCTCTGGCTGCACCTTAAGTAGTCACCTCCAAAACAAAAGACCGTGTTTGTGTACAACCTTCCTGAAAATTCCCTTGACTTGGGATCTAATAGCAAGGCAGACTTACAACCAAACCTTAGGAGAAATTTGACCGACATCTGGGAACAAGTTAACAGTTAACCCATGCTACAGCTATTTCCACTAACTGCTGTATAGTATTTTTGCATCCACATTTCTTCAGAGTCCTGTATTTATGGATGGAACCCAAGATCTTGATCCTCTTCTCCTGTTATGAATTAGCATCAGGCTTCAATAGAATGAAAACAGTCATCATGAAGCTTGAACTCCTCTGAACCCCAATGTTTTGTTTCACACACTGGCAACTCAGTGAAACAAGTAAATTAAGATTTATGGTATTCTCATGGCAAAAAAAAAAAAAAAAGACATTAAAATGTGAAAACAGCCCTAGAAAAGCCGGATTATTTGACTAATAATATTCAACACAATCAATTTAAGTAGTCTTAAAAACCCTTAACCTAAGTCAAAACATTAGACTACACTGGAGCCAGACATGCAGGCTGAAAACAACAAGGCAAAAAACTCAGTCTAATTTATAAAACCACTAGTTTCTTTTCCTAAACAGGGTAGGAGTACATGTGAGTGGGTGGGTGTGGGAGAAAAAACAAAAAAGGAATTCTGCTTATTCAGGCTCCCTATTGCTTTTTGTTAATGAAAAAAGCCGGAATCACTAAAAGAAAGTTAAAAATGACTCAACTTTTTAAAACGGGACTGCTTCTTCCTATACTAGAACTCGGAAATCCCCCTCCCTGCCCCAACAAGCTGACTATGGTTTAGAGCGAAGTCTCTCCCTTGATTGTCCAGTGGAAGAAAATTTACAGATTTCAATTTAGAGTGCCTTACTTTGACCTTGACCATACCCTGCAGAAAAAGCGAGGCCAACCACCTCCGTCTGGCTGGGCAAACTCGAGAAGTTCACGTAAGACAACTGGGTAACAGGTACGTGAAAGATGAAATCCAGATATAGGGATCTTATGAGTGGCATCACCTAATGAAGGTAGAAGGGGGGGGGAAGTTATGAGAAATCATTCTTTAAATGATACAGTCCCACCCAACCTCCCTTTGTATCTTTTTATATACATGCATGTACACACACACACCTCTTCTCTACAGGCAGCATCTGTGATATCCGTGATTAAACTATCAAAACCTTGCTTCCGACAGCAAAAGACTAGTTGGTCTGGGCTGTGAGCAGACACGCACACTTACTCCCTCTTAAAAGGCCATTATCTAAATATTTGACATAGGGTAACATGGGCCAAGTTTGCTCCTTCTGCACAAAAGGGGAGGAAGTGTACTAACAGAAACAACCTGGAATGTATAAACACTGCTTAAGAGCACAAGGGAAACAAGGCAGTCAAGAGCTCTGCCATTTGTGGATACAAGAAACTTGCAAAGTGACTGCAACAAGCTGTTCTATCACCCCTTTTTTGTCAAAACTTGAGATGAAGTTCCCAGAAAGAGAAACCAGGAAAGAACCTCCCAGAAGGAGATGTACAAAACAAGTAGATATAGATCAGATAAGCCAAGTCTCAAACTGAACACCCTTGCATACCACTCTTCCTCTATTGATACTCACTAGCAGTCTGGCAGTGGTACCGAAAACCACGTGGTGGTACTTCTGCAGAAAAGCATAAGGGAGGGGAGAAAAAGAACAACCATCATCCAGCACCACCATGACAGATCCATAACTCCAAACTATGCACCACATTTTGATTTAGAGAATGGAACAGCTTCATCTTCCCCTGTGGCCTTGTACAAGTACCACAGCTATTTTTGAAAAAATTATTTTCAGTTGTATGTATCTGAGAAAAAAGTATATATTGTATAGCATTTATGTTTAGGTCCAAGACATACGTTCCTTGCATGAAATACAGAGCACAAATATCAGAAGTGCCTTATGGATTTACTCGACCCTCCTTGAAGCTTCATGCAGTTCTAGCACTTAAGTACATCTTCAGAAAAAAACAGCACTGCTCAGATATTGTGAGTAGAAGTCCAATCACTTACAGTCAAATAAATAAACCTGTCTTAATACCAGAAATCTAATCTGGGCAGCAGCAACTGACATTAAATAGCCTCCCTCTTAATGCAGAAGATGAACTCTTTGTTGTCTACCCTTCTTTGGAAATCACCTGGATCTATGAAGTGATGGAAGTCAGCCATTATGCCGTCCTGCAGGGAGTACTTGACACACCCAATCTCACAAGGAAGGAAGCGCTGGTCACAGTGGGATGGCAGCTTGCCATGACTGTAAATGTTCAGGAAATAGAAGATGTCTGCAACCACAGCTGAGAGGAAAAAAAAAATAACAATTTTCAGAAGAGTAACTAGAGGTTACAGCAAGCCATCCTGGAGTCACCTCATCCAGTGAAAACTTTTGTGCACTTTGTCATAGAACTGAGTAAAGTAGGGTAATGACCAAGGGAAGCACACAGATGGAGAAAGACATGTGAGATGACAAGGTAACTGATACTTATGCAAGAGTTGGGCATATCGGTAGTCTATTATTCCTTATTATGATAGTCTTATTCTCCTACAGGGTGAGGAGACCTAAAATCATGTTGCTAACTGGAAAGCAGCATTGCAAGCTCAATTCATTAAGTTAGATCAGTTAAGTGAGCTGGTACTAACCTACAGTACAAGGAGATGGGAAGAATTCTACTAAGGATCACTTCTCACTAAATGAACTCCTAAAGAAGGTAAAAATACCCAAGGAAAGCATAAGAAAAAATTATCTACTGTGAAAAATACTATACACCCTAAAGCTTAATGTTCAATGAATGCCACGTAACATTCCCAATGAAGTTTTAAAATATTTATTTAATCCCTACGCTTACGTTCTGCCCCTTACCAAAAAAGGTTATTTATTCTACTATATAGGGAGAACTATATAGTGAGGTATTATCTGTCTTTTTAAACACAGAAATGATGTTGTGGGTCAGATTTTATGGAATTCAACACCATCTGTCCTAAATTTGAATTCTGGTGCTCTCTTGCATGGGTCTTAATTTCTGCAAGCTCCAGGATTGATACCTCTTAGGTGCAACTGCTTTCCTTATGAAAAAATGGATATAGGTATGGACAACCATGCAGAATTTTTACTGAGAAATATTAAGGAGCATCATCATAAAATGCATCTCGGTTGTCCCTTAACTTTCAACTGAATAAGAGCAGTTATGCTCTTATATATTATTTATATATAATATAATATATATATATTAAGCATGGATTCTGGCAGAGAGCGAACTAACAGGTGTTACGCTTTTTAAATTGAGCTACTCTTCCCTGACACTCTATAACCATGAAAATATTGAGAACAGTTCAAGGGGCTTCTTAAGTAAAAAGCTTGAGCAGAGACATAAGCAAACAGTACAGAAATAGCTTACATTAAGTGGCTGATTAACTTACCTTGTAAGCACTACCATTTTACCATTTTTGAGAAAAAAATGATTACTTGTTGGGGAAATATTGCAGATGTGTTAATTACTCAATTCCAATCAAAACATCCACTTGAAGACAAGGTAAATATAGGAAAAGTTTAGGTTTCAAGAGTTCTTTCAACAAACCAGGATGTTATAAAAGCATTGACCAAGTACGTATCCACTCTTATTCTCCCAAAGAGGCAAGGTCATCATTTTCTCTAACACTTGGTAGATATCAAAGCTCAAACTTTGTACAATTTCTCACTCTTTGAACATGGCAGAAGCATTCCTTTATTCTGAAGTTGGATTACCCTTGTAAGTTACAAATGTCAGAATGATCTTTTTCTTAAAAGCCTTGAAAGAATTGTAAAGAAAGTATTAGTAGCTGTACAACCACTAAGCTAAGGAAAAAAAACCACCAGAGGATAGAATTATTTCAGGCAAGGCAGAAGGACATTTGCACTGACTTCTCTCAATGCAATGAAAAAGTTTTTATTTTTTTCCTGCAGGCCTACACCATTACTTTAAGAACAAACACACACTTGACACGGAGAGCTATTGAAAAAAATTAAAATGTCCTTTGTATAGGTACCACTCAGAATATCTGTAAAAAGCAAGCTTTTATCAAACAGAATCAACTACTGTAAGATTAGTATACCCTGATCACTCTTCCATGACACAGCAGAGGCATCAGGAAAAGAAGTAACTCTGTGTACCACAGTGGTCAGACAGCTAGGTGCTGGTTGATCCAGATTAGGCATCTGAAAAAGATAAAATAATTAAAAATCAGTCTACTAACTGCCAGTAAAATCCCTCACCTCGTTCTATTAGAGGAAGACCTTATGTCCATTACTAGTCATGGCTACATGGAACAAATCTATCATTTACGTACAATTGCCTGTGTACTTGCAGACTGGGACAGCAAGATTTCTCTTCCAACAAAGGATAGCTGTCTTAATACCTTGGCTAACTCACAACTGGAAAGAACCACAGCTATTTAGTTAAAATCTAATACAAGTATAAAAATCTTAATTTTGTTAGGTTCAACTACTTGTTGCACAGGAGGAAGTCTTTCCAACTGGAATTTCAAACAATACATAAACTTGATGAAAAAGTTTGCCACATACATTATTTGTCTTTGACTAGGAATAGCATTCATGAAAACCTGGTAAAGCCTCAATTCATCAGACTGCTCCGGTACAGAGCAAGTAAGAGGGGCTCACAGGCCTGTTAAGTAGAATATTGCACATTCATGCATGCTTTTAAGAAGGCAGGGAGATTTGGGCATCTGCCTAGGCACATGACAGGCTTACAGGATTCAATCATTCAAGGCCCAAATTGTGAATAATATCCACATCTAGGTACACAAATTCCAGATAATCATCTTTGCCTGACAAGCTCTCATAGTTATCAGTTTAAGCTATTTAAAAGGAGGAATTAGTCCCACCCATGTTAGCTTTGGTCATCTTCAAAAGTTGACCAAGACCATTCACTATGCAAAATAACTGTAGTTTCCTGTGTACCCAAGTGCAAGTCATAAAATGAGATCACAGTTCCAAATGCACAGTCCTGTATTTCCACTGGCAGGCAATGAGGATGATGTGCTTTATTTTAGTAAAGCAATTATTCTTTTCCTGATTAAAGCTTTCTAAAATGCTACTTCATGTTGAACGAAGTACACATCTCCATTTATGACTTAGTTGTTGTTTCACGTTGCTCTCCATTATGTATGAACATTTAACTTCATTAATTATACACCCCTCACCTGCTAAAAATAACACAATCATATTTTAAGTCTTTTCCTATGCAGGCCCCCAAATCAGAAGACACTGCCTAACATGTTCTTACTAGTCCAAATTAGTTAACTCAACTAATCCAGATTTACTAGTTACTCCAAACTACAGTCATCCTACCATTCTTTCTGTCACATTAGCACTTCCATGTCCCAAGATTTACCCTCACCAGTAATTCATGGCCTGTATACAGTAATACAGAATGAAGAAGTAAATTATCCACATACTGAATCAGGCTCTTTGCTTTGACATAAAAGTTTTTATGCTGACAACCAAGACAGGAATAAAATAAGCTTTGTGCCACCTCACATAATTCAAACTCCAAGGAAAACTTCAGGGACCTGCTGGGAGAGTGCTATAAGCTGCACATTGGTGTAGTCAGAAAACTAACTACTAACTCCTACATTGAGATTTTGTCCTTCACCACTATTTTCTCCATAATCAAACCAATCTAAAACTAATGGCAAGCATTTTTTTTTGTTTTTTTGTGTGTGCAGGCTGTAACATTTCATTGACCTGGTCCACCACCGAGCCCCTCACTCAAGAACACCAAATCAGCTGGTTTTAAAATATACTGACTTCCAGGCTATCAGACAAGTATGACCTAAATTAAGGACATCCACAAAGCAAAGGTAACACAAACCTGTGACTAAAAACCATGCTAATTTACCATATTATAAATAAAACACATTTTAAATCAGACACTGCAAAATACTGCTAAACATAAAACTAAGCCATTAGAGAACAACATTTTAGTAGCTAAAGGGGTACAGAAGAACAAGCTGTGGTTATTTAAAGAGGTACAGAGTACTCCCACCAGCAAGTCACACCAGAACAATTTTCTGTTTAAATTTCACAATACTTCAGGCTACCACATCAGCCATAATTTCCAGAAGTCTGAGGTTAGAGTACAGGTAATCTCCTATAGCATCCCACCTTGCCAAACCCAAGCAACACCTCACTTCCCAAAAGGTGTTAATTTCTGAGCATTTACCTCCTTTTTTGTCTTCTGTGATTTCTTTTTCTTCCACTTTTGAGCCCTCTCATTATATGCCATTTTTTCCTCTTCTGTCAGCAACTTGAAAGAAAGCCGATTATTAAGAAGTTTTTACTACTTCCTTCTAGTAGTTACACAAATCAAGTGTTTTACACTGTTTTTCAAAAGGAAGCTATCAATACTTTGCAAAAATTGCTAACTGGTATCATCAAATCAAGCATTTTGGGCAGCTCTGTCTCTTACAAAGCCATTAAGCTTTGATTCAGAGCACCTGGATGAGCACATGCACTTAGAGCACCTTCAGAAGAGGGCAAGCTGGCTCTGTCACAGCATGGAGGTCTCCTGAAGCTCCCCTCACCAGCCAGGGGTGCCACCACCCATTGCCCACAAGACAGATGTCCTCCCCTGCAGCTGCGGAGGACAGGGTGGGAGTAATTCTTAACCAAAATCAGATAGAGCTGCTCAAGGCTGAAGAGGTAATGCTGTGCTAAGCAGACAGCAGCTGGGACACCACCTAACTCCCCCTCTCACAAGCACCACCTCAGTGTTTTACCACCACACGTGCCACAATCAACTCATAGCTGTCAGTTTGCCACCACCAAGAGGTGCTGGGGCAAAATTCATACAGCTGCCCTCCCTCCTACCCCCTTCCAACAAAGCAGCATTAACCCAAAGCCCTTCTCTCCTCAAAGTAAGGCTCAGCCCAGCTCCCTCGCCCTCACCGCCCAGTCCTTGGCGCAATGTGGGATGGCGTCGGCCACACATGCCACGGGCAGCCCGCACTGCTGCAGCTTGGGCAGCTGGTCACGGGCAAACAAGTAGTAGGGGCTGGGGAAGCCCCTGGAGCACGACATGGCTGCCGCCACCTGCCTGCCCTCCTCCTCCTCCTCCTCCTCCTCCTAGCCTCGCCTTATCCTCCTGGCCTGTCCTTATCCTCCTGGCCTGTCCTTATCCTCCTGGCCTGTCCTTATCCTCCTGGCCTGTCCTTGTCCTCCTGGCCTGTCCTTGTCCTCCAGGCCTGCCCTTGCTGCTGGCAACCACCGTTTGCTGTGGGAGTGGGCTGGGTTCCTAACACACGTTTTATAGGGGCGGTGGGCAGGGCAGGTGGCCGTCATGCCCAGCCGCTCCCCCGGGAGGCGGTGACAGCCCACAGCAGCAGAGTGTGTTCCTTGCCACAGCAGCAGAGAGTGGCAGGTGGCATTTTGTTTTGTTTTGTTATGTTTTCTGCTGCATTGTTTGGGGTTGCGAGCATTCCTCTCCCTAATGTCCGGTTCAATAGGTCTTCCGGCATCTGCCGAGATGGAAACACAATAAAAATGCAGTGTGTTATTGCCAGTGACCACATGTGGTCCTCGGCTGGTGCTGGCACTGCGTTCCTGCCTGGAAACGAAGGCTTCCCCGGGATGCACTTTGCTCTGCCTGGGCTGGGGTCACCCCCTGCTCTTGGCTCAAACTCCCCTGGAGGAGCCGTACTCCTGCTGCTCCTGGCAGCACCGTGTAGTAAGAGGCCTGTTGTGGCCTGGGGGAAGTACCTGCAACCAGTAGTAAGCAATGATCTCTGCGTATTCCCCTAAGTCCCACATACATCTGGTGCCATGCATTGTGGATATGTAATTCAAGTCTTCTGTTTCTTTTATTTGCTTACATGTACAAACATCTGTATTCATAAGTGAGCGTAGTGACTCTGTAAGGATTTTACTAAATTTAATATGTAACATTATTCAGAGTGGGAAGGTATAGGGGTATATTTTTAATTTGAAAAATCAGTATATTGCCACTTTGTGAGGGTGGGGAGCCTGCCTTTTGAATTTTTGCAAGAACTTGGTGCAAGCTATTGCTGCCATTGAACACCAGCTTGTCCTGTAGGGATGGGCACTGCTGACAAGGTGCTTGCCCTGCAGCCTCCATGATCACCCTGAGCTCCTGCCTTGCCTTTCCTTCTGGAACAGCCTGGCTCTTGCTGCTCCCTGACAGTGACCTCAGGAGGAGCTGGTGCTCAGTGAGACAGGATCAGGATGATGTGCCTGCTCTGACACATCCAGTAGCACTCAAAATGCTGCCAGGGCCCGGATTTCTGGGTGAGAATATGGGGTGACAGATAACAGGAGTGGAGGCCCTCACAGGAGGGATACAGGAGGGAATGGGGGAGAAGTGAAGACCAGCTTCACACCAGAGGCCTGGGTTTAGTTTTGAGATACGTAGCAGAAGAGTGGAGGAGGTGAGGGAGCATGCATATGCTTGGAAAGGCAGACTTGCACTTGCTTATTACAAAATACTTTGGGAGCGCATATTTTGCAAAACTGTGAAAGCTGTCCAGACTTTCATCTATCTCATTGACATAATTGACATTTCCTTCACTGAAAGTTTGCATACTGAGCCACAGTTCACATAAAATAAAGGGTGATCTGCATCATCTTGATAGGCAGGATGAGTTGCTTCCCTCCTTAAGCTTTCTATCAATCTCTCTCAAAAAGTAAGTGATCGTGACTTGTCTTAGTGTGTTAATTTTATATATATATATATCCATAACTGGCCACAGAAGATAGTTTAATCAGTTTACAGAAGGGATTGTGAAATGTGGTTGCCTGCAGCAGAGGACCCAAAATTCAACCTGAAGCAGGGTTGCCAATGTGTCAGTGTCAGCAAAGGCTCTGATTAAATTTTGGCCATGTTTTTCTTGCCCCAGATGTGTGATATCTCCCACATTCCTCACTGTTCCTTTTGTCTTTGGGGGCCGTCTTGATGGGGGACCATCTTCAGTATGTGGTTGCAGTTCCTACAGAGCCTGCATGATGTAGCAGAACATGAACCAGCACACTACACTTATTCAGCTGACTTCAGTGAATTTACCCCAGCAATCGCAATAAAGATGGATGGTACAGCCTTGACTTGGAAGATTCTTTCCCATCCTCTATTCCAGAGTCCTTTTGAATTTACTGTAAATTTGGACATGAGGATATAAAACAGTGACGAAGACTTCAATGCATTTCATTGGAAAACTGCTTTTTCCCTTCAGTCTGTCTGCTTTCTTCATCTTCTGGTTAGGTAACTGTGAGTCTTTATCTCCAAAGGAGGTAGCTGCTGTGTAGGCTTAGATCTTTGGCTCAGCTAATTATGTTTGTCACTGCTGGAACCACTGGCAGGTAAGGTCAGATCACATAGCTCTTGCATCTTACTAGTGGCTGGTTTCCTCTGAGGGTTAAAAAATGCTGGTGCAGTTTAGTCTTCTGGAGGCTTTTCTGTCTTGCTCAAATCCAATGAAACGATCTGTTTTATGCTGCCTATGAAGCACTTACTTACTGAATTTGCTGTTAAATTTACAGGAGGAGCCAATCACATTGTTAAAAACATGTGAAGTCATAAAGTAAAGTCAATGAGAATAGAAGATCATGTTTAAAGTCACTGTCATTCTTGTGGAAAATTACTTGTATCCAGGACTAGTCCTTGATACGTTAGTTTAAATCTCTGAAGAGAGACTGCAAGAAATAACTTATATCTTTTAAATACAAACTTCTGCAGAGTCTATTTTTTTAGCCAGAAAGGCGAATATTGCTGTTGTGTTACTGTATGAGTTGTTGCTAGGAGTACATCTGTGCACAGTTGCTTTATTTTCCTTCACACCATGTTCTTTTCTTATGTGCAATTTTGTGACCCACCCTCTAAGAGCCCATCCTCTTAAAAAAATTAGATAATGTGTGCATCAACTCTTTAAAGAAGACAAGACTCCACTAATAGCTCTCCTAGGGCTAGAGGTGTGGTTGGAAAATAAAATTCATAAGCAGTGAAGAGAAAGGATTATCCTACGTGGATTTGGGAGAGAGAAAAAAGAGGGAAAAGGTCATCTTTGGAGCACCATGTCATCAGTATTCTTGGCTGGGACCCTGGGGAGCTCCCTGTGTTTTAACTGGAAACTCATGTTTTAACTGTTTGATTGTCTGCTGTTTAACTTAGCTGGCAAAGGAGTTCTCCAGACCATTTATGGTGATTTGTAAGTCACATTGGGGCCATTCCAGGGAATAAAAGCAAGGGTTGTGCCAGTGTTTAAGTATTATTTTTTAAAGTACTTAATTCAATTAAATGACTTGATATGCCAACACCTAACTCTTAAATAGCTGGCCTTGGAAACCCAGCTCCACAACTGGGGACCTGTGCTTTCTCATCAATACATGTAGTTCGTTAGATGTCTCAAAATAGGGTCTACGTACATTGAAAGAGAAAATCTATTTGAAACTTTTCTGCCAGTAATGCATTTTCATTCATTCAGGATTCATGGCTATCATCTTCTTTCCAAGATGTGTCTTACAGTTGTTTCTTAGAAAGAACGAGCAAAGATATTCTGCACAAAACTCGTCAACATCTGCTGCTACCCAGAGATCTGCTACTTTGGGGCTAGAGCCCTGTCCCACAGAGTGGGAAATATTTGGTGTTCTCGTTAGGGAATTCGAGTGAGATCCAGTAGCCAGCTTTTCTATGGCCCTGGCCCACCCCAGTGGGTCACTTGGTTTTGTCCACTTGGGTCTCTCCAGTCACTGGCACCAAGGCACCCAGCTCCTCTGACCCATCTGAGTCTCATCGCTGGTGCTCAGATCCCTCATACACGCACATACACACAAAATACAGTCCCTCACCCAGGAAAAGAGCTAGAAATGAATTTAATTAGAAGATAGGACAGCCTGTGCTGAGCAGGCACAGGGCATGGCCAGACATATCAAACAGCAAACTGTTGACATGCAACCAGCTCTTCTTATTCTCTCATCCCTCCTTTTCCCCACACTTGTTCCTTCCCAAATCACCTAGCTCCCTCCTTTTCTCTGCTTTTGTTTCCCCCCCCTAAACATCCCATAGGAAGTCCTGTGCAATCCTGAACTGCTCTTGCCCTGCATCCCGTAATGTGTCCTATATTCCTGGGCTGCAGTCCCAAAGTTGCTGTGGTGTTGACTATCAAGTGTTTCACTCCTGAACCCAGGGGCTGTCTGAAACAGCACTGGCAGGGGTCCAGACAAGTTGTTCCTTCCCCTCAGTTCTAAATTTGGGATTCTACCTGCCCTTTTGTTCCTGTGCTTCTCTGGACTAGTGGAGGTGGGCCTTTGATGGGCTGATGGCTTTTGTGATGGGCCAGGGAGGAGCCAGGGTGGGGTATTATCTGGGCTACCCCCATGCTATTGTCTCCCTGCACTCCTTTGTGGGTGTGCAGATGAGCTTTTATCACATAATTTTGCAGTTTGTATCTTTCTCAGCCTGGTAAAGGAGCTTTTGGACCTGTGGCAGTTTCCTTGGAGAGTGATATAAAATGGGAACTTTGGCTTTCCAGTCCGGTAGTTATTACTGGTTTATATGTAGTGCATAAGCATTGCAGGAACCAGAACCTTCAAGCTGCCCCTCCCTCAGGCAAATGATTTAAGCAGTCCGCTATTAGCAGTCAGCTTTTCTCTTGGTCTTACTCCTGATATAATGAATCTTGGGTTTCTTTCTGAATGGTGTCACAACTGCAAAAGGAGTTGAGAATGCCATTCCCCTCAGCTGTGTGACTGAGGATGTAACTTTGGACACCTAAGAGTCACGAGGCCTTTTTACAAAAAGTAAGCCACATGCCCCTGCCTTGTTCCCTCGCCTGCCTTTGCAGGGCTTCACTGAGTGTTGGACGTCTTGTGAATGTCTTGGATCAGGCCTCACAGGTGACATTGGCATCTTTCTTCCAGGTTTTGAGGGGGCCTCAAGTGGGTGCTGCTATGCTTCTGTCTGCTCTTCAGAAATACTAGCTTTTGTGCTGGGAATTGCAGTGCAGCAGGTGATGTGGCTGTGGGATGCATGGGGCTTGCTGGGCATGTGCTGTTTCACTGCTGACCAGCGTGTCCCTGAAGCACTCAACATGTTACAAGGTACATGTCAACCAGCTGCCTGCGTGGGGTGCAGCTGCATCCCATCTATGCCATGTATTCCAAATATCTTTAATGCTG